GGTCGAAATGAATTTCAACAATTTTGGCCAAATCGATGCACAGCACTGCTGCTCATGTAGTCAACGAAATTGCTGGCCAGTTCTTTGACGCACTCGCCGCGTATCACGTATTTCCACTAAGAAGCAATTTGTCCGGCGCCCAATTGAAGTTAGCCGGGCCAGCGGCAACAACAAATTAGGCTACAGCTGGCCGATTGAGCCATAAGCACGGTTAAGGCCGATGGCTTTTGCAAAGTTGTCTTAATTAGTACTTTTTTGCGGGAAGAACCACGCTTAAGACCCTTGATGGAAATGTGCTGATGGTGTACTACATATAAATATATATAAACAAAAAAAAAAAAAAAAAAAAAAAAATTAAAAAAATATCACATATGTATTTGAGCATATCTGGAATATATGTCTGACAAGTGTCAATGAATGGAAATGCAAAACACCATCAATTCCGTAGCTGTCTTTACCCAGCTGTCAGTAGGTTGACCCAGTTTCAACTGAACACACGTTCGCCTAGTAAAAAGGGTGCATCGGTGTATAGAAGAGGGCGGTTCGAATTGTATCGTGAATGGATTATTTTGATATGTTCATGTTGTTATTCAGTTGATTCCACTTATGATGATGTCCGACAGCTGCTGTGCCTGGACGTGCATTGCCCTGCCTTCGATGTTGGCCAATTCCAAAGTGGATCACAGATTTGGCCACTTGACATGCCGCATCCCTGGAACTGCCCCCATGAAGAGGCCCATGAAAGGAGGAAGCTATGCTACGATTGAGTAGATAAAGGCGGATGGAAATAAAAACTGGCTTCTGTTTCAGTTTTTATTTCCATCCGCCTTTATCTACTCAATCGTATTCGATTATATCGATTATAAAGAAAGATTTTCTAAAGTGCTTCGTGAATTTGTGAAATATCTGATGCGGATTAGGTTGAAGGCAACAAATTGAATACCAGAAGCACATAAAGAGCTTTTCATAATAAAAAAAACTTGTTGAACAGACCTCGTTTTGATATATTACCAGAGACTTGACATTTAGCATATATTAGGTGTCTCATCTGATAACATGCTATGAGTTTTTGAATATACCCAGTGGGTGGGGTAAATTGGCAAGAACTATATCTATCTGTATGAAGTCTTTGCGCCAAGCCCCGTTTGAAGGGCGTGACATGTCAATATTTAAAAAGCTAAACTCTCTAAGCTGATTTACTCTACAGCTAGAGCTATAAATTATATGGTCAGTCCAATAGCGCGTGAAAGAGTATTAAGCTGTCAATACGCTCGATTGCAACGATTCTTACTTTGTTTTTGTTGTTGTTCTTGTTATATTCAAAGTTCAATAATAATTATATATCTGCCAACAATATAATGAAAGTGCTGGCAATATTCCAATTATTAATGTTAACAGCTATTCACTTTTTTATTGGATTTTTTATTTATTGTCCATTGCCTTCGTGTTTTTTATTTTATTTCTTTTTTTTTTTTTTTTTTTTTGTGTCAGCAAATTTAAAAATGCATTTGACGCTCTGACCTACAACATGACATATTTTTTGTATGTAAACTTTATATTTTTTATGAATATATATATTTTTTTATTGAGTGATATGCATAAAAAAAAAGTTACACAAATAAATGGAAAAGAAATAAGAATGCAATTCAAGAGCTTTGTCAAGTCAGCTTTATATGTATGCTGGGTAGACAGCATTAAGTCTTTGACATTTTTAATTGGTTTAGCAATCAGTTAAGCAATCCCAATTTCATTAATCTTAGCCTTGCGTTTGTTTTAATGAAAGGAAAGAAAGAATAAAATTTCCTGTGAGCTCTCGCCGCGACTTTGTTAATTTCTAATTTAAATTTTCCATTTGCCAAAGCGTAAATATTTGAAATGCTTTGTTATGCTTCCCTGCTAAATGTTCCTTTCTCTATTCCAGAAAGGGTAAAATGCAGCAAATACTATTTTAAATGCTCAGCGAAGCGAATTTGACTTTGAATCGATGCGATAGAAAATACATTGTATCACCCAGGATGGATGCACATTTTTAATTAAACTTCTAAAAGAGCAAAGTTTCGAAATAAAAATTGATAAACTATTTGTTGCAAAAGTTTACGAATTTAGCCAAGCCAAAAAGGCATGATTATGTTTTGAATAATTATAAATTTAATAGGTAGAATTAGCAATTAGGAATATATCTCTGGAAAGGATTATAGAGGCCAAGGCAATCAGATTTTATTAATTAATCATATACACATATTATGAAGGATATAGTATTCTCAATGTATATGTATATAAACGGAAATGATATATGTATAAATCAAAATAATCTGCATGTATTCCACCGGATCTATTTGATCGGAAGGTCGATATCAGCTTTTCGTATATTTTTCAGTGAAAAACCAAAATGGATCTGCGACCTTGTCGAGGCTTACTGATTAGACGCATTAGTTCGGTCCGGCTGTCGATCGTATACTATAACTATAATACGGTCATTATGGCATCCGTCACGCCTTCAGGCTGATTGCAACATTTAGTTGCTTTCTATAAAATAAATTTGTTGTAGAGGTGGAGTGAGGTCATAGAAAGTGCTGATTAATACCTATACACCTGCCATATATTCATATACATATAATCAATTTTATATATACATATTTATAATTCATAAGCTAAATAGAGCATTTCAGAAAGTTGAGTCATAATCTATACGTAATACCTGTGAAAATTTCTCGAAGTTGTGGCGTTTAGAACGTGTTTTTCACAATATTCGTATTCTCGAGTCGAAAGAAAAGTAATTACGATTACGATTTAAGCGCATACTTAAATGAAAATCCATTTCTAAACAGTTGCTGCATAGCACGCAAGGCTGAACAGTGAAGCCTCCACATGCTGATTGCCCCTTCTACAGTACTGCTTGCATGCCATGAAAATCTAAGGGAATTGCGAGCGGCTTATTATGGGCAACTAAACCAGTTTATGGCATGGGAATCTACTCTATTATTGATGCATTCAGAGAGTTTTTTTTTTAATGATTCTCATTGAGCAATATCTAAGAGAATAGTACACGCTGAGATTTGTCGAGTGTCCACTATGGGCCAGTGCACACTGTATGTGGTTGTAACACTGTGTCGTGCAGTTGGACATTCAATTTGCATGGCAATGAGCTAACTTATTGAGTTATTCAGTTATTCAGTGCGAAGCAACTCTCAGCTGTCAACTGAGAGCTGCAGTCTAATTTCATTTGGGAAATGGCGAATGTTCGTTCGTTCGGCTATTCAAAGTTGAAGATGAAGTGACGTTGCATATGCCGCATGCCACATGCCACATGCTACATGCCACATGCTACCGAGTATAAATATAACAAGTGCCGAGTGAATTATGTACATAAATAAAACAGCTTTGCCTCGATTCTGCCGACCGTCGAAATACTCTGTTGTGACTCTCAAACTGTAATCGAAGGGCAGCAGTGAACCTTCAACTGTATGGGGAAAAGATTTCTGGGTCGGGCAGAATAGAATTTGAGCTGAATGATAAAAGCAATGTAATGGACTGATATACCCGTTTGGCCCCGCTTGCCAACAGAGTGGCACACACAACGAAACACTGGGGCGCAGGCGGTCGGACATGAAGGCGCGGCATGTAGATGTTGTGGCAAATTCACTTGCGAGTTGGCGCTAAAGCTTGAAGTTCACGTCGCATAGAGCTGGCGGTGCAACAAGGAAAGCTTTTGTCTGTTTTCGGTGCGACTAATTGTTGCTGCACGCTGACAGGCCGAGGCAGCTATGTTGCTATTGAAGAGCTCCGCTGGAGCTCACTGACGTTGACAGGCTGCGTCGCCTGAGTAACAGCAGTAGCCGCGCTGATGCGACCCATCTGGCTATGTATGTATGTATATTGCGCGCCAGCTAAAAGTGCAATAAACTTTGACAAAATAAGGCGAAACTATTACCGCGGGCTACGGCCGGTACGGAGGGAGGGGAGAGGGTGAGCGAGGCGGAGGCGGAGGCGGAGGTGGAGGCATAGGAACAAATGGAGCGCCAGTAAACTCTTCAAATTGCCACACATACACACATTGCAGGTTGTGTATGAAAAAAATGAGTAAAAGTGAACTTATGGGGAGTGCTTGACCTGGAAACACCCTAATTAAATACATAAATAAATATTGTAGCTTCTATTTGATTAATTTACAGGGTATGCAAATGGATGATATTTAAATGTTTGAGTACGTAGGAGTATGTCAATGCAATGAATCCAATTTGATATTCCTAGTGTATTCCTAGTGTTTATAGCTAAATAAATTAATCATAATTTTTATCGATTGGTATGAAAGTAGTATACATATATCGATAAATTCAAATCAAATCGATTCATATTTCATATTTTTTATAGTCGAAACTTGCAGTTAAACGATATATGAAACGATATAATGCATGGCAAATATACAAGAATAACATATTGAACCACCCTCGCATACACAGATGGGGTCAATGAAATGGCATTTCTGACTGTTACAGGCATGTGCATATAATCAATATACCCACTTCACACATGGCTAATGGGCGAAGAGTATAAAAAGCCGCAGCTGAAGACGACATCAATAACAACAGCAACAGCAACAACAACAACAACAGCAACAGCGGCAGCGGTAAAGAGAACTTCTTGATTAGAATTCGTTTGCCTTGCGAATAGCCGCCGACGCCGCCGTTGCCGTTGACGCCGCGAGTAGTGGTTGTTGCTCGGTCTATGGGTCTATGTGGTATGTCCAGCTCTGCATGTGACAGAGCCAAAGAGAAAGAGAGAGACAGAGAGGATAGAGAGAGCGTTGGAGATGTTTAGAAATATTGGCGTATGTTGGGCGACTTTAAGCTAAATTTCATTTGCATGTTAATATTTATGGTAATGCTGAGAGCGCTGCGACATCTGCCGCGCTTGTTATTAATGTTATTGCCAATGGACTACAGATAAGCGGAATAGAACATTGTCTAAATGCTACAAATTGATATCAAATTAATATTTACTCGTGCGGGATTCTCAATCATTTGAGATGGTTTTAATTGTACGTTCGCTGTGGAGATCTTCTTTTCTTGAGCAGGCCGTTGCGCTGCTGTGTTTTGGTTGGCGCTGTGTTGTCGTGTCACAGGCGGCGAGAGGAGAGAGGTGTTCAATCAGTTGCGCTAACGCAGTAGCGTTGCTTGTTGTTGTGGTTGTTGTTGTTGTTTCTATTTCAGCTTTTATTATTATTGTGGTTGTTGTTTGTGTGCTTGATCATTTGTATTTGTTACTGTCGGTCCCTACAATTGGTAGTCAATCACACTTGGTTACAGCGAACATTGTTGCATTCGCATTCACTACACGCTCACTTATAAACAAATGCAGTACACGTATTTAATGTTGGCAAGTGTGCATTTCCAAAAAAAAAAAATAAAATAAATAACCACGAACACGTCCGACTTTTGGAGCCGCAAAAAATCTACTGAATAAATACGCACTCTATCGATAGCATGCCAAATGTCTGGCGGCAGTCGATCAACTATCGACTACTTGTTAGCACCAACAGCTGATTTTTGCTACATCAGGTGGCAGCACTTTGCTATTTACTTTGCTCTATGGCTCAGCAATTTACAATGATTTTTAATTTATATGTTGCTAATATGCTTGGCCAATAGTTGCTGTGTTTTGTATAAGCAGTTTATTTTGAATTCGCGGCTTTAAAAGCCTTGCGCGCTAAAAATGTGAAATCAGCTGAGAGCATGAAAACTATCGAATAAAGTGAAAGCACAGCGTTGCCACTACCACATGGTGGCGACCCTGCAACATTAATAGCATAGATGGCGCTACATTGACAGTTCTTAATTCTGCCAGCAGATGTCGCTGTTAAATTCAAAAGAAATTTATGACGAACAAATTTCTTTTCTGTTTTTTTGTGTTTAAAAAATCAATTTATGAGCATCATACGATACACCGATATATGAGTCAGTGAGCTCAAATTATCAGAGCAGTACTTAGTTTTTACGCCAGATCGTTAGACATATCCAATTGCATACACGCTCATAAAACCAGACAGCCAATAGACCTTATCAATATTGGCAATTAGCTGCAGTCAGCTAATACTTTCCGTGGAACTCCAGATAAATAGGTGACAATAAACAAAATTATATTTCACCCCGAGGTTATATGCATGTCACGCAATGTGTCTAGACGACGATAATATATGCACATACTATGTACATACATATGTATGTATGTATTTAGATATCTCAAGGAGATTTTTACTAGAGCCACGTAGTGCTCCAGCCTGACTGCCTCACCGCCAAGGGGTATATAGATGCAGCCATGCACGGATGGCAGTCAAACTCTCAAAGTAGTTGGATCTGCCATAGAGCATTTCACATTGGGAGCGGAGGTCACCTCGTGCTCGGCCGTATGGCGATGCCAAAGACTCTTACCAAACAGATTACATCACCGTTGGAGTCGTAACCGCCGACAGCATTGCCCTCGGCTGCGAGAACCCCTCCTAAGAGAAGATATTCTTACTTCCCTTAAAGCATAGGGTATATAGAGGCAGCCGTGCAAGCGAGCAAGCACCCTGTCCATGGTCAGGTTGCCCGCATGAAAGCCATGACCGGCCATAGAGATAATGGCCAGCCAGAACGGCATTTGGCGACACGCTGACCTGGCTGTAGTGAAGCCATCTGTGTTCAGTTTGATATCTGATGATGTCCTCTTTCCACTCACTCACCCGACATTTTGTGCAAGCTCTGTCGTCGTACAGCCAAGACTAACCAAGAACAGTCAGCCAAGGCAATTGCCGTAACTTGGGCGCGCTCTTATCACGGAATACTGCAGAGATAAGGCCGACGCGAGCAGCTCCGAGGCCGAGTGCAGCTCCTTCTCCAGCGCCATCAGCTCCAGTTCGGTCTAGTGCCTGCTGAAGCTCTTTGCAATCCGTTTAAAAAATATATAAAGTAAGCTGCTGTTTATTTTGCCTAACGCGAAAAGTGGGCTAAAGTCGCCTAAGCACGCTAAGAGCATTGCAGCGGCTAGGGAAATGTCGTGATGCGGCTTTGCAGACACTCGAATCCCCTGCACGGCTCCAGCTTGGCAAAGCATTTGATGGCGAAGCGTATTATGACTATGTTATAATTGAGTGCAAACTGCTATAGAAACATATATCTTTGGAGAGTGTGGTAGAGGGAGGGAGAGTGGGAGTGATAGAGAGGAAGGAAAACTCGCTTGATTGCAGTGAAATGATTTAGAAAATTAGATGCGGAAGCTGTAGGTTCTTTTCTCTGCTTACGTAACAGTTTGCAGAAATTAAGAACTTTTTCTTGCATATGCGACTTGCTATTACCCTTTAATTTACAAAAAAAAAAAAAAAAAAAATTTTAATTTTGCCAAAAAAAATAAATCTAATTTTCGCTTTTAAGATAAAATTGGTGCAGAATTTTCGTGTGGCATATTAATTCATATATAAATTTATAAGCCAGCTCTTATTTATAATATATGGATTATAAGATAGGGATTATTTTAAAGGCAATAAAATATA